AAAAGGAAATTAATATGCAAGTAGTAAATGGACAGGCCACATTTTAAGATGACAGTCTAATCCATAAACTTTGCAGCATCCAATCTACAAAGCCAAATTACAATTTCTTTTCTGACCAGCCCCAAATGGTCATGACATGATCATCAAAAGCTAGATTCCCTAATTTCCCCCCACTTTCAACGTATAAAATTAGAGAAAATGTGCCCACTTAACAATCTCGAAAATATTCTGTATCTAGTTCATCTTCAACTTTCCGGTTCCAACAACCTTCAATTAGAACTTCCCATTTTTCATGACAAAACTTTTTTCTTCCCTACCTGCTTTTTGAATCCTGACAAACAAGAATGAAGGTAGGGGATTTTCCTACATAACAACAAGTTCTAAATGCATCACAATTGTTGCTTTCTGTTGGTCTTCATTCATTTCTGCAGGAGGTGCTGTTTCTTTAATGTTAGCATTGTCATTTATTTCTAGGAACAGAAAAAGTAATGAGGAAGTAGAGATAGAAAAATCTTCATCAATCAATTCCAATACAGCCAGTGCGTGGTGAAGACAAACACGCTTCCTCTTCAGCCTTTCAAGTCCCTTCCACTCCCATTCTTGTCAATAGTTTGTCTATCATGCTCCTCTTCTGGGTCACAAGTCTATGGTTATACTGTTTGCTAATGGGAGGCAGAAGGAACTCCAGCACATAATAACAAAGCAGCAGAACTCAGCTTTTGTTCTTCTTGTTGCTTTTACACATATTCTCAAGCAATAGTCTGAATGAAAGGTGAAGTGTTATACTTACAATCTATACATTCTTTTACCTCCTCCTAAGTAATGTCAGCCAGAGGTGAAGACTCTGAATGTGCCCCAGGTTGCTCAGAGAACTTTACATCAATGTCTAATCGGGGCTGCATCAGGATTTTTTTTCAGTAAATCTACTGATTTCTGTTTCTTGCATTTATCTCATTTCTTCAGATATAAAAATTTATATTTTACTTGCAAACCAGGCTGTGAATGGTTGAGGCTTTTTTTTCTGTGACCTGTTTTTGATTTTTTTGTTATTGTAGTTTAACTGAGACTTATGTTTGCCAATATGTATTTTGCTCTTTTGCCTGTTTTGTCCTTTCAATAGAAATTTAAACAAGCTTCCTGGAAGGCTGTAGGAAGGAAAAATACTCATTTGTGTTACTAAAATGAACAGGCAAAAAATGTTGCTGTGAGAAGAATTTGGATTGAATTCACCCATTTAAACTACATTTGACCATCCATTTACCAATGTTTAAAGGAAAAAATTGATTAGAGAAACAAAGTTGACTATGGTAGAATATTGACTCCAGAATGATTATTTTGACAATAATGATAACATGTCAATCAGTCAAAGTCACGGTCCTCCCTTTGTTCATCGATTTGCTCGAGCGGGGCCAGTAATGTCTCCATCATGAGACTTGTTGTTACTGTGTTTGGCATATCGAGTACGTCATGGGTAGCTTGCCAGGCTCTGCCGTGCGGGCGAGATACTCTCAGTAGCTTGCCGGGCTGTTAAAAATCACAAAGAAACCACAGCAGTTATTATTTAGTGTCTGCTATGTATTTTGCTTGCTTTTAAATTCAGCTTCATATTTTTAGCTCATGAAGTTGCCATGTCATAGAGTTTGCCATTGTCTTTCGAATGAAAGGATTGTAAATCGTAAGTGTAAGTGGAGTTTAAGAAGAAGAAAAAGCATTCAAGACTTTTTCACACCTCAGTTAATCAAAACTGCTTCTGTACACTGGGCAAAAAAAAAAAAAATGCTTGTAACAACCCAAACATCCTTCAGGTACTGCATTATAAATTGAATTCATACAGCAAAGCATAAAAATTTAGAGAGAAAAAAGAATCACATCAGGTACTGAGAGTTTGTAAGACTTCAATTAGGAAAAATTAAATTACCCTTACTAAAGAAGTGGGGCGGGAGCAATAGCATAGCAGGTAGGGCGTTTGCCTTGCACGCAGCCAAGCCGGGTTTGATTCCTCAGCCCCTCTTAGAGAGCTCGGCAAGCTACCGAGATTATTCGGCCCACACAGCAAAGCCTGGCAAGCTCCCCGTGATCTACGATGTGCCAAAAACAGTACAAGAAGTCTCACAATAGAGATGCTACTGGTGCCCGCTCAAGACAATCCATGAACAGGAGGACAGTGCTACAGTGCTACTACAGAAGTGAGAGTTTGGAATCAGGATTTAAGTACATAAGTGTGGGAAAAACTAAGGAAATAATTTTCTGGAAGGAGTAAGATGCTTGAATCAGAAAGTGCTCACCACCCATATCAGCTGGGATTAGTTGCTAGTGGACAAGTGGATTTCATGGAAGGTTTGAGATGGGAAATTCATGTGGCCAGTGAAATGAGACTATGAATCAAGCATCCAGAGAAGTATCTGTGGAAACTACCGTCTATCTGAAGGTGATGACAAAAAGTTTTGATCGGGTTAAGGCTAATTGTGGTTGATGAAGTTAGTTTCTGGGAAGACTTACACCACAGAACAAGATGAGACTGAAGAAGAATTGGGGATGCGTAATTTCTCTCAGTTTTATTCAAAATAAATTTAAATATTCTTTCCTTAATTCCTGTTTCTATATTGTCACAATTATTCAATAAGCATATTTATGTTTAAATTTACTACTTTTATTTGCTTTTTAATTGTTCAATAAAGATAATACCAGTTCTTCTAATCTGCCAGAGATTACTCTCCATTTTCCCTTTTCTATTCATCTCAATGTTTACCCTACAGTCATAGACTCTGTATCTGCACTGTGGGATAGCTCCATTTTCCTGAATTTTATTATTCACTTTCAAATAAATCCTTGACTGATTCAGAAATTCTTGACTGACTCATAGTCAATGGTCCTATATCCCCTTTTACTATAAGTGAATCAGTTAATGAATTGTGCCTGCTATCATCTGAGTGTCTTTATGGTGACCACGTCAAATTTATTCCAGTGTGTGTGGTATAGAACCCATTTATTGTCAGAGGTATTTGGTATAAAATGGACTTTTGGAAGTTTTTAAAATATGTAATGGATTACATACAATAACTAACCCTATAAATCAATAAGTCTTTTGAGAAAATACAGGCTATAATTAAAAATTTAATGAGCATTTATTTCATAGACAAAATATTGTTATGTTATAACATTACAGAAAATAAGTCTTTCCAAGGACATATGTATGCTTCTATTTTATGTACATCTTCAAAGACTTGAGAAGCCCTGTCTGAGACTAGATGTTGGAATAACATGACAGCAAAGGCATGGGATGCCAAAGTTTGATCCTTTTTGATACATCCCAATTGAACTTTCAAGTCTATTTCCTATGCTACAGGACGCAGTTATGTATTCATGACATATAAATTTCACATTTTGAATTTATATGCACTTATGTAGTCATTTTTGCTACCAAGTCTCAGGCATTTATTAATGTTGGATATAAATATGTTATTTTAAATAAAGCACTTATACTTACATTGTTATACTTTATACTGCTCCCAGTGGTATTTGTAAGTTTGTAACAAAATTAAGCAATTAACTGCAAATTTAGGCATCAATGAATCACATTGACTATGCATTTGAAAGTATAAATAGTAAAGGACCCTGAGGTATCAATAATATACAGCAGACTAGAGTCAAAACAAATAGATTTCCTCTTGACAAGTAATTTTATTCTATTTTTTTAAAAGTAAGCCATCTTGGTGGACTTGAACACATATGGCGTTTGGTTTCATATAACTAGATCACATTATTTTTCCTCATGTCAAACTTTCACATTTGTGTTTTCTGAATGGATATGTATTACTTAAAAATCGGAAACATATTTTTGAAACATTTAGAAAGATGTTATCTAGCAGCAGAAAATTAAGGCTGAAAAATTCAATTTCTCAGAGCTGGAGCAACACTTGCCTTGAGTGAGGTGAACCTGGCTTTGATCCCTGCACCCCATAAAGTATCCCAAGCCCCACTGGGAATGATCCCTGTGTGCAGAGCAGTGAGTAAGCTATGAGCACCACTGGGTATGGTCCTCTTGCCCCAAACAAAACAAAAATTTAATTGCTTTTCAATCATTCTTTTTCCAGTTCATTATATGTGTGTATAGATATTGATATATTTATGTATATGTGTGTATAGATACTGATATATTTTATTCATTTTCTTTATGCAGAGAATTATTGAAAAATAAGTATCTGGCATTAGAACACCTCTTTTATTAATCTGCAATGTAAGCGGAAGAATCAGAGACCTAACTACTGGGTAATTTTGAAGTAAAAAGGTGACTAAAGGATTTATACAGAGCTATTTTAAAAATTCTTAACTACACGATTCAAGTCATATTAAGACAGTCATTGTAATTTTATAACAGTGCAACACTTTATCTTATATTTTCGCCTTTATTTAAACACCATGATTTGCTGTGACATTTTAAATGTGACTGAATAAAAAGAAAGGTTATACGTGCATTGTATTGCAATTTTTTTGCATTATTTTAGAGGGAGTTCCATATTGTACTCAAAGGGACTCAGGTGTTAGTCCCAGTTATTCTCAACCAACAGGCTTAGTTGATGGCCAGTAAGCATATATCTATCTATCTATCTATCTATCTATCTATCTATCTATCTTAAGGGCTGGAGCGATAGCACAGCGGGTAGGGCGTCTGCCTTGCATGCAGCCAACATGGCCGACCCGAGTTCGATTCCTCCGCCCCTCTCGGAGAGCCCGGCAAGCTACCGAGAGTATTTGATATGCCAGACACAGTAACAACAAAGTCTCCAATGGAGACGTTACTGGGCCCGCTCGAGCAAATCGACGATCAACGGGAGGGCCTTTACTTTTTTTACTTTTTTTATATATATCTTATAATTAGGGAGATGTCACTGTCACTATCACTGTCATCCCATTAATTATCGATTTACTCAAACTGGCACCAGTAGTGTCTCCATTTGTCCCAGCCCTGAGAATTTAGCATCGTAAACTTTATGCTCTCTCTATCCAAGGATGTGGCATGCCAGCTGGATGTCCTTGGGCATGATGGTGACCCGCTTGGCGGGGAATGTGCTGAGGAGTTGGTGTCCTCCAAGAGCCCCACCAGTTAGGCCTTGCAAGCCTCCTGCAGCGCTAAGAAGGCTGAGCTCTGGGAGCAGAGGGTTCGTCTTGAAGACCTGCGCGATCTTGTGCACCAGCCGCTGGAAAGGCAGCTTGCACCTGAGCAGCTTGGTGGACTTCTGGTAGCGGTGGATCTCCGCAGCGCCACGGTGTAGGGGCGGTAGTGGTGTGGCTTCTTCACACTGTCCTTGGCTGGCATGCTCTTGCGGGCCACCTCGGTGTTCAGCTGCTTGCAGGGCGCCTTCTTGCCCATTGACTTTCATGTGGTCTGCTTAGTACAAGTTCTCTCGTTCTTCCCAACTCAGCTGGAGACTCCTTCAGGGTTAGGAAAATGAGACCCACTTTATCTACTGTTGTTGGCATATCTGGTACCTCATGGGTGGTTGCCAGGTTCTGCCGTGAGGGCTGGATACCCTCAGTAACTTGCTGGGCTCTCCGGGTGAAGATGGAGGCTTTTGGGGTGATCTTGGCCCTGCAGGTGTTCCCAGTCTACCGAATGTAAGATCCTGGTGACAAGCCTGCTGTAACAATTTGTACACTGACAACATACACCTGCCTGAGTCTCTGGGAAATGCCTGGGGCATCTTCAGCCTCAGGTTGATTTCCTGAGGCCGAAGATGTAAGCGAGATATAAGTCAAAATAACATATATATGTTATATAGGCATATATATATATGCCTCGAGCAGGCACCAGTAACGTCTTCTTCTTCCTAACCCTGAGATTTTAAAAGAACCATATTCAATGCATATATATATATATATATATATATTTATGCTCTTTCACTTCAGTGAAAAGAGCATTATATATATATATTAAAACTATTAGTGTTGGCAATAGGACAGAAGAGGGACTCTCTTTCACTGTCAGTGGAATTGGAATGTTGTCAGATTCTTTGGATCCATGGAAATTTCTCAAAAAAGTATGGGAAAATAATGCTCCTATATGACCTAATGATTTCACTTCTTGATATCTAGCCCCCAAACCCCCAAAAAATTAATCTGAAAAAAAATTCATGCCTTATCCATTATAGCACTAATATCATAGTTTGGATAAGGAAACAACATAAATGTCCAATGGCAGATGATTGGATAAAGAAGCTATAGCATTTATATCCAATGGAATACTATGCAGTTGTAAGAAAAAATGTAGTCTTACAGTTCACAGCAACTTAGATGGAAGTGGAAGACATTGTATTAAACAAAATAAGTGAGAGTGAGAAGGACAATTATTTGGATAATCTCACTCCTCTAGAAATAAGACAAGGAGAAAGTAGCGAAGTAAAAAATCCATGACCTTGGGTTACAAAACAGATTACTAGAGAAGGTAGTATGAACTGGAAGAAATGAAGAGATAGACTAGAAACAAAACAAGTATATTGGTGAAGGGTTTGGGACACTTTGGTGGTGTAGAAAAACCAATTTTTCATCATCTTTTAGTATATATATATATATATTTTGAGTGACATTCATTGGTGCTCAGTACTTACTTTTTTTTTTTTTTTTCCCTTTATTTTATTTTATTTTTTTTAAAGTTGTAGATTTACAATTTTTTGTGCTTTGGTTTCAATTATACAATGATCAGATACCCATCCCTCCACCAGTGCCCATTTTCCACCACCATGGATAATATCCCTCCCACCCCCATCCCCCCATCCCCCCTGTCTCTGTGGCAGGGAAATCCCCTGTGTTCTCTCTCTCCTTTTGGGTGTTGTGGTCTGCAAAAGAGGCATTGAGTGGCAAACATGTTCAGTCCATAGTCTACTTTCGACATGCATCTCCCCTCCTGGGAGGATCCTCCAAACATCCTTTATTTGGTGCTCCCTTCTCTATCTGAACAGCCCTTTCCTCTAGGATACCCGGCTGGCCTCTAAGTTATGGAGTAATCCTCCTGGTGCTGATCTCAGCTATTCTTGGGTATTAATCTCATACTTTGTTACTTTATATCCCCCAGATGAATGCAATCTTTCTATGTCTATCCCTCTCTTTCTGACTCATTTCGCTTAGCATGATACTTTCCATATTGTACCACTTGTATGTAAATTTCATGACTTCATCTTTTCTAAGAGCTACATAGTACTCCATTGTGTAGATGTACCAAAGTTTCTTTAACCAGTCATCTGTTCTTGGGCATTCAGGTTTCTTCCAGTTTCTGGCTATTGTAAAGAGTGCTGCAATGAACAAACAAGTGCAGATGTCACTTCGACTATACATTTTTGCCTCTCTGGGATATATTCCCAGGAGTGGTATTGCTGGGTCAAATGGGAGCTCAATTTCTAATTTTTTGAGAATCGTCCATACTGTTTTCCAGAAGGGCTGAACCAGTGGACATTCCCACCAACAGTGAAGGAGTGTCCCTTTCTCGCCACATCCACGCCAGCATCGGTTGCTTTTGTTCTTTTGAATGTGGGCCAGTCTCTGAGGTGTGAGATGGTATCTCATTGTGGTTTTGATCTGCATCTCCCTGATGATTAATGATGTAGAGCATTTTCTCATGTGCTTTCAGTACTTACTTTCTGCCTCTATGCTCAGGGGTAACTCCTGGCTGGCTCATGAGGATATTTGGAGTTTCAGAAATTCAATTCAGGTTCTCTGTATGCAAGGGAATCATTTTACCTGCTGTACTATACCTCTTTTGCCATAAATATCTTTCTATGTTAAATTTATGAAATTCAAAAGTACTTTCATCCTTTTCTTTTTGTCCCTTTCTTATTTTCTTTTTTCCTTTGCACCAAAAGAGAACATTTGTTCTGTTCCTTTCTGTTACAGTGATATTATATCATATCAGGTTCAATCAGCACCACTGGGTATTTGTGTGATGTCACATTGTCTTTTACAGCAAAGATTTTTCTCAATAGCCTTACATAAATGTTCGTGGACTGATTATTAACAACCAAACCCAAAGATTATTTTTTTATCTTTATATTATGAAGCTTCTGTTCATATCTATATATTTCTAACTTTCAGTTGTACTTTATACTTTTAATATGAACTTATATAACCCATAGTTATTCAAATATGTAGAGTTAGTGGAACATATTTCTTTTATCAGTACTCCCAATCTTGTTGACAAAAATAAATTAATGGAGGGGGGATGTGCGAGTTTCCATCCCCACCCCAACAGAGCCAGCCCTGGCAACTGAAAACCTCCATACTCATTGCCATACTCATTGCTGTTCTCCACACACTAGAAGAGCCTCACCCACCAGTGAATCTATTCATGGACTGCACAGCATCTCATACTTACACCACTAATATACCAGCAGTAATATACCACATTTGAAGGGGTTTAGAGTAGAAAGCAACCAATCTTAGGGGGAAACACACACACGGCTAAATCTTTAACATGTTACTACTCTCTTATGGAAGGGTTTATTAGTTCCTGGGTGAAATACAACAATCTTCACACACTTTCCTCTAAGAAAGCTTTTTGATTCATTTTCAGTAGATTATTCCTAGCCAATAATACAAAATAATTTATTTCAGTTCTGTTTTGTGGGCAGGGTTTGGAGTTCAGGATGGAAACATCCAAAATATGATGGTGGGAAGGTGCAAATGGTGTTCGAATATTAAAGAATTAAATATTGTGAAAAAATTTATATATTTTTTAAAAAAAACTAAATTACATAGTACTTGTTCAGTACATACTTCCATTACATTTTTTCCTAAACTCAGTAATTTTCAAATAGCTCAAATTCCCCAAGGGTAGTAGATTATAGAACCCGAAAGGGATTTCTTTTCCTTTTTGTTTGTTTATTTTTGGTGATGCCTGATGGTGCTCAGGGCTTAATCCCAGCTCTTCACACACGCATCTCTCCTGGTGGGGACAGGCCAATAAGGGGTGTTAGCAATTGTACCTGGATCAATTGCATCCAAGACAAATGTTTTACCCACTGTACTATCTTTCCAGCCCGGAATTTTGTTTATGTGTATATGTGTATTAACTAGTCTACTCATATAAAGTAAAGAAAAAAAGAAAAAACAAAAACAAACCAAAAAAAACCTGAATTTAGTCCATCGGCCCCTTCCCTCCAGGTGGGTAGGGGGCGCCCAGCCAGGAAGTGCTCCTGCCCCCCCAGCCGCACCTCAGATTCCCGCCTGAAGCCCAGTGGGGAGACTGTCAAACACCCTTCCTCCATTCCAGGATCCTGGGTGGGAATTGCCTGGGACAGGCGAGGGGCATGGCCACCAGGAAAGGGGCGTGGCCTCTTAAAGTGGGCGTGGCCTTCTACTCGGCCCCAGTTATATCACTCACATCAAGCACTCAGGACTCTCATCCCAAAACTTGCCGCCTAATATGAACCAAAAATTTCTCACCTCTTCTACTACAATCCAACAACAGCCCACTAGCCTACTCAATTTCCAACAAAGACCTGTTTGAAAATAGCTGTATAAGCTCAGTACCAAATAGGACCTCCTCCAAAAGTTTCACTCAATGTCGGTTATAAAACAAAGAATAACGCCTGACTGAGAAGAAGTCAAACTCAGAAACCTAGATGGGTGACTACCATTGACAAAATCTTATCCAAAATCCTTTCCCACTATAAGAGGGAATAGTATAATCTGTGCCTGGCGGGAACCGAGGCCCATTGTTCGGCAACAAAACTGAACGGCTCCTGGCAGTCTCTCCTCATTCAACGAGGACAGGAACTGAGGCAACATCACATCCCGAGGCAACAAAACTGAACGGATCCGGGAACTCTCTCCTGACTCAACCAGAATAGTAACAGTGAACGTGAAGAACTAAAGCACACTGGTCACAATGGTAAAGCAAAGCAAAAGCCCACCAAACTTTCTTATTGAAGAGGCTAGCCCAGAAGACACCAACAGTATTGTAGTGTTAGACAACCTCTCTGACAAGGAATTCAGAAGGGAGCTACTTAGGATGCTTAGGGAACTAAAAGAAACAATGGAAAGCAATGCCAATAAAAGACAAGAGGATTTGAAGGCAGAAATGAGAAAAATGCAATCGGAAATGTCGGACCTGAAAACCCTGGTAGGAGAATTGAAAACCTCAGTGGAAGGCCTCAGAAGCAGAGTAACAGCTGCTGAAAACAGAATCAGTGAGCTCGAAGATGAAGTTAAGAGACTCGCCAGAAAAGAGCAGAAAATGGAAAAGAGACTCACAGTTTGGGAACAGATGGCAAGAGAAGATCATGATGAAGCCAAGAGGGGTAACATAAGAATTATTGGAGTCCCAGAGGGACAGGAAGAAAACCCTGATGAAGAAGAAACTGTCAAAGACATCATTGCTACAACATTTCCA